TTTCTTTTTTTTTAGATTTTTAAATCTTAAAATATTTTTTTTGTTTAAATTATAGTTGTCCTTCAGTTTTAAAATCTGTTTTTTTTGTTTTTGACAAACTTTATGGTTCCAGTCTACCTCCAAAGATGTCCATCTACCTTCATGGAACGGTAGACAGCCTCCAGTGGTACCAGGTCCACAACACACATTGAATCATCACCACTTCACAGCTCTTACATTACCTTCTCAGCACAAGGTACCACAAACTCTGTAATCATAGAGGATGACCCTGTACTTTGGTCAAATCTCCTAAAAGAGAGTGTACCAGTGCAAGTCATGGACATTGATTTCTGCCAAAATTCTGAGACTCCACCATGAAGATTCACAAAAGAGTGTTATAGAAGAACCATGAAAATGGTGAGAAAATTTGTTCATGGCTAGTATACTCCATGAGCCCAGACTCCATGTTCTGTTTCTCTTGCACTGTTTTTGGGAAGCGTGACAGTGCGTTAAGCAACAATGGTTTCTGTACATGGAAGAATCACTTAAAATAAAATGAATCTTCAAAGGGGCATCGGGACAATATGGAAAACTGGCATGAGCTGAAGAACAGACTAAAAAAACCGACACATCTATAGAGCTAAGTCAGCAGGACTTGATGCAAATCGAGACTGAGTATTGCCAACGTCTCATAAGGACAGTGATTGCCATTGTTTGCAACTTAGCAGAATGCAACCAGGCTTTAAGAGGGACCATATTTGTGTAGTATGACCCACACAATGGGAATTTTCTGGCACAAATTGATGGCACAGTTTGATTCAGTTATGAGGGAACACGTAAGAATGGTACAAAAACAATAGACCACATTGCATTACTTAAGTGGAAACATTAAAATAATTGCACGAATTACAGACAAAATTCTGGAAAAGTACACAGAGTAAAGTTCTACTCTATTATATTGGATGCACTCGTGATGTCAGCCATAAGGAACAGCTTTCCTTTGTTTTACGAATAGTCTCTTATAAACCATTTGTGTCTATTAGAGAACATTTCCTTTGATTTACAGATGTTGAAGACACATCTGGCACATCCGTCCTGCTTGATGACTTGCAGAAACAGAGTATTTCTGACTGCCATGGTTGGCAAACAAGAATTGTTTGCATTGTGCATTCCATTAACCTGGTTGTGGTAGATGCTGCCAAGTCTTCTCTGCTGTCCATCACCTCTGGTGTGTTGAAAAGACTAGAACTTATACAGCTCTTCTGTTCAACGGTGGCAAGTTCTAAGGGAACATGCAAAACAGCTCACCTTAAAACCAGCAACAAGATGGGAGGCTCGGATTTACTGCATGAAGGTCGTTCTTTGTAGAATGACTTTGGTCAGATGTGGTTGTTTTTACATGTTTAACAAATAAAATTAGATTGGATTAGTACAATACCAGTTACCAGAGATCCTGGACGCATTGTCTGCAGTCCAGACATTTGAAATAAAGAAGGGGGATTCAGAAACACTTAAGTGTAAGTTACATATAAGTTGTGGTGTCTAGCTTATCCAAAACCTATGAGTAAGTTGTGCATAACTTAAGAGTAACTTATCAAGAACTTATCTCCACTGTATATCAATGTATTTGAAGTGTTCCAGCCGAGCGCTGAACGTGTATCTAACTTACAGCTACTGTATAATGGCGTATTGGCAGCATTTTNGTATATCAATGTATTTGAAGTGTTCCAGCCGAGCGCTGAACGTGTATCTAACTTACAGCTACTGTATAATGGCGTATTGGCAGCATTTTGGTATTAAAGGGGGTTTGCATAAGGAAACCGTCAGTATTCCTCCAGACTTCATCCCCATCATAGGTGGAGCAAGAAGATAAGTGTGAAGGATCCTCCTTGCGTTCACGCCCACAACCATCAAACTTCCTAGCAAAGATGATGCTGGATCTGCTGTGACTAAAAACCCTCTTTTTCTTTATTTATTCTTTTTTGTGGCAAGCGGTAAACAGCAGCTAGGTTAAAACCGCAATCAAAGAAATGTTATTAAGCAAACCGGGCGACTCCAGGCGCATCGCTGCCCCCTTAGGACAATGGCTTGTGACGTTTAATGGGTATTACACTGCCATGTGTTATGTTTTACTGTCGTTGGACATACACTCTGGATTCATTATGACTACTCTATGCATACGCCCAAAGTTGAAAACATACATAGAAAGATCATCGTATAACAGCGTTTTAGGAGATTCTGGGAGGTCTAGCATACGCTGGCTGAATTGTCAAGGTGTGACAGGGGCTTCATCAGCTTGAACAGATATATGTATCTAATATATCTGAAATGCATTTCTTCATAGTCAAAATAATAAAAATGCT